GGCTTATTTTCCAGGTCTTTAACCGTTTTCCAGAACTTCTTGCAGTTAGACCCAAAGCGAGATAACTGCTCCTTAAAGTAACTAACTTTGGCCTTACGGATAGGCTGAGTGCACTTATTTCTCATTTGCCTGAACGAAAGCCAGTCAGCCATTATATGCATGTGCCGAGCCTTTCGCTAAATTGAATTCTTGAGGTGGAGTAACTGCCAGATCACGGTCGAGCCAGGGGCTGAACCTGTTTTAAATTTTACATTTAAGTCATTTAGCAGACGCTCTTATCCAGAGCGACTTACAGTTAGTGAGTGCATACATTTTTTTAATTAATTTTTTATACTGGCCCCCCGTGGGAATCAAACCCACAACCCTGCGTTGCAAGCGCCATGCTCTACCAACTGAGCTACACAGGGCCCAATTCTCTTTTTATTTATGGGGGCGTGTTTGTTAACAATACCACTGAAAATATCAAAAAAGAAGGTCCAAGCGTCTTCCTTCACACCACAGTCAACAATTTTGTACTGTAACTGAAAGATCCGTGACAAGCAGATATTGTGTCATAAGGAACAAATGTGGAAAAACAGATTAAGTTAAACTCAAGAGTTGGGAAATAACTGATACATGTGACAGAATAACATAATTACAGACATTGTGACAGTGACAGACAGTGTTTCAAAACAACAGAGATTCTGGGAAACTGGGCCCGTATCCACAAAGCAGCTCATAGTAGGAGTGCTGATCTAGGATCAGGTCCTTCCTGTCCATAATAATCTCTGTCCATAATGATCTAAAAGGGAGAACAGATCCTAGGTTAGTACTCCTATTCTGAGATGTTTTATGGATACAGGCACAGACCACCAGCTAGTGTCTTACATCCTATGGGCATCAAGGACCAGGACTGAACAACACTGTTTTCACACAGAATCTTATAGGAGGACATTCTTTCTGCCATTCTCAGCTGCTTTTAATTTGTCCAGGAGGATAACCAGGGGCAGTTTAACCTCTGGGTCTTTGGCCATTGGGCGTCAACAGTGACCTTAATGGAGTAGAGAATAGAGAGATGAATGTATACTGAGTTGATATTTGAGACATTGATTTGCAGGTTACTCAAAGATCTCATAATGGTGTAATTTACACAGTGAATTACTAAATACGTTTTTATGAGAATTGCATTGCATTCCCTTCACACAAAAGCACAAAACATGCCCTCTTTCTCTAACATTATTCAAAGTGGTGCACTAAAAAGTTATTTGAATTCAACAAAACACAAGAGGTGCTGCTGCAAAATCGGTCGGTCTGCTGTCTGATCACTTGAAAATGCTTGGGTACACTCAAGCATGGTGGTGCTAGATCACATTACTACTCTCATCACTGTTATCACACGTATATGGAGAAGTTCATGTGAAAGAATGTCACATCACCTAAGCAGCATCAAATAATGCTCTTTCCTACTTTTCCACTGCATTCAGAGCCTAAAACTCTCATCATCAAATCAAATCAAATCACATTGTATTTGTCACATGCGCCGAATACAACAGGTGTAGACCTTACCGTAAAATGTTTACTTACAAGCCCTTAACCAACAATGCAGTTCAAGAAAGAGTTAAGAAAATATTTACTAAATAAACTAAAGTAAAAAATTCAATAAAAATAAAAATGTAACACAATAAAATAACAATAACGAGGCTATGTACAGGGGGTACCGGTTCCGAGTCAATGTGCAGGGGTACAGGTTAGTCGAGGTAATTTGTACATATAGGTAGGGGTAAAGTGACTATGCACAGATAATAAACAGCGAGTAGCAGCAATGTAAAAACAAAAGGGGGGAGGGGGTGTCAATGTAAATAGTCCGGGAGGCCATTTTATTAATTGTTCAGCAGTCTTATGGCTTGGGGGATAGAAGCTGTTAAGGAGCCTTTTGGTTCTAGACTTGGCACTCCGGTACCGCTTGCCGTCCAGTAGCAGAGAGAACAGTCTATGATTTGGGGGACTGGAGTCTTTGACAATCCTTCCTCTGACACCACCTAGTATATAGGTCCTGGATGGCAGGAAGCTTGGCCCCAGTGATGTACTGGGCCGTACGCACTACCCTCTGTAGCGCAATACGGTCAGATGCCGAGCAGTTGCCATACCAGGCGGTAATGCAACCGGTCAGGAAGCTCTCGATGGTGCAGCTGTAGAACTTTTTGAGGATCTGGGGACCCATGCCAAATCTTTTCAGTCTCCTGAGGAGGAAAATGTGTTGTTGTGCCCTCTTCACAACTGTCTTGGACCATGATAGTTTGTTGGTGATGTGAACACAAAGGACCTTGAAACTCTCAACCCGCTCCACTACAGCCCCGTCGATGTGAATTGGGGCCTGTTCAGCCCGCCTTTTCCTGTAGTCCGTGATCAGCTCCTTTGTCTTCCTCACATTGAGGGAGAGGTTGTTGTCCTGGCACCACACTGCCAGGACTCTGACCTCCACCCTATAGGCTGTCTCATCGTTGTCGGTGATCAGGCCTACCACTGTTGTGTCGTCAGCATACTCAATGATGGTGTTGGAGTTGTGTTTGGTCACGCAGTCGTGGGTGTACAGGGAGTACAGGAGGGGACTAAGCATGCACCCCTGAGGGGCCCCAGTGTTGAGGATCAGCGTGGCAGATGTGTTGTTGCCTACCCTTACCACTTGGGGGAGCGGCCCGTCAGGAAGTCCAGGATCCAGTTGCAGAGGGAGGTGTTTAGTCCCAGAGTCCTTAGCTTAGTGATGAGCTTTGTGGGCACTATGGTGTTGAATGCTGAGCTGTAGTCAATGAACAGCATTCTCACATAGGTGTTCCTTTTGTCCAGGTGGGAAAGGGCAGTGTGGAGTGCGATTGAGATTGCGTCATCTGTGGGTCTGTTGGGGCAGTATGCGAATTGGAGTGGGTCTAGGGTTTCCGGGATGATGGTGTTGATGTGAGCCATGACCAGCTTTTCAAAGCACTTCATGGCTACCGACGTGAGTGCTACGGGGCGGAAAACATTTAGGAAGGTTACCTTCGCTTCCTTGGGCACAGGGACTATGGTGGTCTGCTTGAAACATGTAGGTATTACAGACTCGGTCAGGGAGAGGTTGAAAATGTCAGTGAAGACACTTGCCAGTTGGTCCGCGCATGCTTTGAGGACACGTCCTGTTAATTCGTCTGGCCCCGCGGCCTTGTGAATGTTGACCTATTTACAGGTCTTGCTCACATCGGCTACCGAGAGCATGATCACACAGTCGTCCGGAAGAGCTGGTGCTCTCATGCATACTTCAGTGTTGCTTTCCTCGAAGTGAGCATCAAAGGCATTTAGCTCGTCTGGTAGGCTCGCGTCACTGGGCAGCTCGCGGCTGGGTTTCCCTTTGTAGTCCGTAATAGTTTGCAAGCCCTGCCACATCCGACGATCGTCAGAGCCGGTATAGTAGGATTCAATCTTAGTCATGTATTTGACGCTTTGCCTGTTTGATGGTTTGTCTGAGGGCGTAGCGGGATTTCTTATAAGCGTCCAGATTAGTGTCCCGCTCCTTGAAAGCGGCAGCTCTAGCCTTTATCTCGGTGCGGATGTTGCCTGTAATCCATGGCTTCTGGTTGGGATATGTACGTACGGTCACTGTGAGGACGACGTTGTCGGTCCACTTGTTGATGAAGCCAGCGACTGACATGGTATACTCCTCAATGCCATTAGATGAATCCCGGAACATATTCCAGTCTGTGCTAGCAAAACAGTCTTGTAGCGTAGCATCCGCATAATCTGACCACTTCCGTATTGAGCGAGTCACTGGTACTTCCTGCTTTAGTTTTTTATTGTAAGCAGGAATCAGTAGGATATAATTATGGTCAGATTTGCCAAATGGAGGGCAAGGGAGAGCTTTGTATGTGTCTCTGTGTGTGGAGTAAAGGTGGTCTAGAATTTTTTTTCCTCTGGTTGCACATTTAACATGCTGGTTGAAATTAGGTAAAACGATTTAAGTTTCGCCTGCATTAAAGTCCCCGGCCACTAGGAGCGCCGCTTCTGGATGAGCATTTTCTTGTTTGCTTATGGCCTTATACAGCTCGTTGAGTACGGTCTTAGTGCCAGCATCGGTTTGTGGTATTAAATAGACGGCTACGAATAATATAGATGAGAAGTCTCTTGGTAGATAGTGTGGTCTACAGCTTATCATAAGGTACTCTACCTCAGGCGAACAATACCTCAAGACTTCTTTAACATTAGACATCGAGCACCAGCTGTTATTTACAAATAGACACACACCCCCGCCCCTCGTCTTACCAGACGTAGCTTCTCTGTCCTGCCGATGCACGGAAAACCCAGCCAGCTCTATATTATCTGTGTCGTCATTCAGCCACGACTCAGTGAAACATAAGATATTACAGCTTTTAATGTCCCATTGGTAGGATAGTGTTAATCGTAGATCATCCAGTTTATTTTCCAATGATTGCACGTTTGCCAATAGTACGTATGGTAGTGGAGGTTTACTCACTCGACCTACTAATTCTCAGAAGGCAGCCCGACCTCCGCCCCCTTTTTCTCAGTCTTTTCTTCACGCAAATGACTGGGATTTGGGCCTGGTCTCGAGAAAGCAGTATATACTTCATGTCGAACTCGTTAAAAAAAAATATTCATCCAGTTCGAGATGAGTAATTGCTGTTCTGATGTCCAGAAGCTATTTTCAGTCATAAGAGACGGTAGCAGCAACATTATGTACAAAATAAGTAAAAAAATAAGTTATAAACAATGTGAAAAAACAAACAAAATAGCACAGTTGGTTAGGAGCCCGTAAAACGGCATCCATCCCCTCCGGCGCCATTATATATAATATACCTTAAGTGTGTAACTTCAGTATCGGTCAGTCTAGGAGGTTCCTAGATGATATGAGGCACAAAGTAGATTGTTATGATAACATCTCTTGTAATGCCACTGCCAGTTGTGGGTGTTCCTGGTATAAACACACCTTTGTGTGAGAGAAACAGAAACAAGTCCATTGATTAAAATCAACACCATACCCTCAGTCCTGGAACGATCATATCAGACTTGGACAGAAAGGTGAACTCAACTTTGACTTTGCTTGTCATCCTCATTGACCTTGTCAACTTTGTCTTCAAACTGTAGGTGATTTTGCCAAATTTTGCCACATAAGATGATGGCATTTCTCTGAGATGAAAAAACATAACATAATATTCAGTCAACCACTATTACAGTAAAAAAGTTTTTTTTCTGTTAAAACACATTGTGTATGAAATGTTTCTAAATACCTACACATCATTTGATGGATGGAACACTTACTCAGTTGGGATCTGGAAGGTAAAAGGGTACACATGTCGCCCAGGACTAATGAATCTGGAATGTAAAAGGTTACTCGTCGCCCAGGACTAATGAATCTGGAAGGTAAAAGGGTACACGTCGCCCAGGACGAATGATTTCAAAGCCTGGAAAACAGTGAATACATTAAATGTATTCACATGTTGTATTACCATCTTAACATGGTACATCCTGATCAAAATCTCAAGAAAAATCTCATCACATCTCACCATAGTAGGCACAAAATACCATCATAAATTTGATTGTTAATTTCTGATTATTTACTATTTATGAAAGTAAACCAAATAAGAGGTAGGCTGCCATTACACACACCATCCATTTCCCCTTCCTGCAACAATATTTGCTCAAGACTGAAGTATTCCTTCTTGCTACTGAACTCCTTAGTATATTTATTTTGATGTTTGTTCCATTCCACCTTGGCTTTACCTATTGCCTTGACAACAAGAGACTTGACTATGGTCTCCTTGGATACATCCAAGGATGAATATCCCTTTTATAACATGGCTTTAATTTAACACATTTGCCACTAGAAATGTGTTCATTTGCCGATATAAATGTGTTCAATGTCCACTGAAGTAGCTAGCAAGTTTACTGGATAGCTACAGTGGTTGCCATGGTAACCAAACAAACAGACTTGCTAGTTTAGCTAACCAAACCATCAGTCCTAGCTTGCTATTATGAAAATCGAATTAAACAATATCAATACTGTTTTCAATTCGACTTTTGCTTTCAAAAGCAGCTCAAACAAAACATGTAAAAATTATCTATAGCCATTGAATTCTACTGTGCAAATATACTGTGCATTATAGGGAAATAATGCACGCTCTAGAATGCCCTTCAAGCCAATCAGAAAGGAGTATTCAACAATGCCGTGGTATATTTAAGTGATAATGCCAGAGAAGGCAGTGTTTTCGACTTTGTCTCGGGCCTAACAACACCTGTGCCAATATATCCTCCAAACACCAACGGGTTACCAACATATTCAAATAATGATTGACATATTTTCATGAAAAACTTTATTTTGATGAATTTATTCATGATATTTCATCCTTCCACAAGATATAGTCCCGACACAAATTTAGGGTTGATACCCAAGCCGGCTGGTCGTTCGTTTTATCGGTTCGGGTTGCCAGAGAACCGACCCTTCGTACAGTCTTTTTGTTCTGTATCTATGGACGCGACCCAGTCGTTCGTTGTAAATGTTCCATTGCCATTCTGGCTGGCAACGTTCTTATCCCTTGCTTGCTAGCTAGCAAACTACGGCTAACTTACAGTCACGTCAACAGTGCAGCCAGAATAACAACAGTAGCTGTATTTGCATTTGTTTAAGCTGTTTTCTAGTGACATTTATTTGGATACATCCATAACAATGAGTTAATGAGGCGCAATTTCGACCTGGCATAGAAAATGTGCTCTCTCGTCAGGACACTGTTCTTCAGAGGAGCTAGCCAACAACACAGCTAACACTTCAAACTGAAGCTGGAAAGACTGCAAACTAGCTGCACTTCGTTTCGTTTGACCTTTTTTCAATTGACATTTCTTTGTACATATCCATAAAAACGATGCCAGCTGATTCATGATTTCGACTGGCTGAGAAACGCTGCCTGCCTGCCTGTCTGTCTCGTCCCGACTCCCGACACGTTCATTACCATTTGAATATTGAAACAATGTTGCAAATGTCAGAGAGACAGACAGCAAGGTTTATACAAATCTCTGCTGTTGAAAACTAAATGTTAGTCTAAAAGAAAAGAAATGTGAGATATTGTCTAGATGCTTTTTATAGTAGAGATCAAGTTTATAAATTGCCTAGCTGGGCTGATGAGACAGTGGATTGTGCAGTCAGATGGAACAGAGTAAATAGTCATTTTAACGTCATAGATTTAGCTGGTGGTAACTTGTGGAATAGACACTGGCTGGAATGTGGTTTTAACCAATCAGCATTCAGGATTAGACCCACCCGTTTTATAAAAAGGGATAAACCAGTTTTACACCTCACTATCCTATCTGCATGATGTTCCTCCTCCATGGAAGTAGTCCATGGAAACCTACTGGTTTCATTATCACATGCTTGTCTGCCATCTGTTTTGTTATGATTGTTACTGTTAGTTTGTCAACTGGTCTGGTATGTTTTAAGAGATACATGCAGTGAGTAAAGTCACTGTTGTTCATAACCAATGAGACGTTAGTAAAGTAAAGTGTTATTTTATTTATTTGAGAGATATACAGTAGACAACACATGCAACTCTGTTGGTCAAAGTGAGGTAGCTTGAATATTTCCTTGTATTTTTCCAGAATCTGAACAACTTTATAACCATTCACAAATGTTTATATGAATTTGTCCTTCTGTTTCAGCTCTGGTCCTGTTAACCAACAGGGCATGCAGGCTTTCGTTCCTGACAAGCACTAACACCTGATTCAATTATTTATCAAGGGTGTGAAGTCCTGTTGTTGTTTTCTCACACAATATCTTAAAGAGATTCTCCATTATTTTATATACTTTCTAGCCAGTAGTTCTGAATGTAGCGCTCACAAGCCAAAAGTGGTCCCAGAAAATTGCATACTACGTCACAAATGATCAGATATGTGCACCACGTCATTGCTCTCTCTCTTTCTCTCTGTTGTGTGTGCATCTTGCTAGCTGTCACTAAAATGGTGAACGCTGAAGCTCATTGGCTAGAAATTTAATTGCTAGGGGGCTGGCCCTAAAATTTAGGGAAAATGGCACAGCACAGCTTCCAGAAAAACAGAACTTCCAGAAAAACTAGGGATTTTGTGGCTAATTTAGGTAAGACAATAATTCTGCTCATAGACAGGATTCAGTAGGTTACTTTCTAAATGTAATCTGTTACAGTTACTAGTTACCTGTCCAAAATTGTAATCAGTCATGTAACTTTTGGATTACCCAAATTTAGTAACATAATCTGATTACTTTCAGTTACTTTTAGATGACTTTCCCCTTAAGAGACATTAGAAGAAGACAAAAATGAATATTCCCAATTGAACAACATATATTGCAGAATAAATCAATGTTAGAGTTTACATAGCTGGCCATAAATGGATGTTGTATTTTACTTTATGAGTTATGTAGGCTTCTTCTAAACCATTGCATTCTACTACAATTCAGATAATAATACGACTAGGCTATATCTTTACATTAAAAACCAAGTCTGACAGATTTCCAGTCATTCCAATTCATTTAATAGGTGGCAGGTAGGCTAGCGGTAAATAACTTTGGGCCGGTAACCGAAAGGTTGCTAGTTCGAATCCCCGAGCTGACTAGGTGAAAAATCTGTCGATGTGCCCTTGAGCAAGGCACTTAAAGCTAGTTGCTCTAGACAAGAGCATCTGCAAAAAATGTTTTAAAAAATAAAAATACCCCTTGATCTTCAAGAATAGGACATGGAAATATAGATTAGCCAAATTGTTTTACCTGAGCATAACCCAAAAACGAAGGACTTGGAGGACTGATTGGGCTCATTGTTTCGAGTTGAAAAATAAATGCTGCTCTCATGGAATGGTACGCTTTGAGCACTACCGAAAAGTGCTATTTGCATGTGAAAAATGAATGCCATATGCTGCATCTGCTATAGGCCTATTGTTTACGTTTTTGTTGGTGACACTTTGATATCTTGATCATTTGCAGCTGTTTAATTTACTGCAGTGGGCTAAATTAGGTTCACACAGAGTGTTTCTTGGTAGTTGAAAATAAAGTATACACCTCACACACATGGTTATGGGATTTTTAAAAAGAAGACACTTGAGCAATAAAAGCCCCACTCGTGGCCTTCTTAAATTAAACTTGTTTTTGACTGTTTTTGCACAATACCACAGAAGAGTTTAGAAGGGAGGAACTCCCTCAAACTTTTATTCCATGGGCTGGGATCCGCACTATGCAGCTGCTGCAAGAGCACAGTCTATCCACTGGTCGCAAAAACAATGATTGATAGGCAGCTTAAACTTCTTCAATTAAACCATTATTGGGTTATATTACACATAAACACTGAGTGTACAAAACATTAGGAATAGCTTGCTAATATTGAGTTGCACGCCCTTTTACCCTCAGAATAGCCTCAATTCGTTGGGGCATGGACTCTACAAGGTGTCGAAAGCATTCCACAGGGATACTGGCCCATGTTGACTCCAATGCTTCCCACAGTTGTGTCAAGTTGACTGGTAGTGGATCTCTACTCCGAAAAGCTCGTTCCATATCATCCCACAGATGCTCAATTGGATCTGGTGACTGGGCAGGCCACTATCAAAAAGCTGAATTCACTATCATGTTCGTGTAACCATTCCTGGACAATCCTATCCTTGTGGCATGGGGCATTATCCTGCTGAAAAAATCTATTTGCAGATGGATACACTGCTGCCATGAAGGGCTATTCCTGATTGGTAATGATGTTCTGATATCCTGTGGCATTCAAACACTGCTCCACTTTTATCAATGGGCCCAATGTGTGCCATGAAAACACAACCCACACCATCACACCACCATGCATGTACTCATGTGGTTTTCTCCATACCCTAGTCATCCCATCAGCATGAAACAGCAGTAACTGGGATTCATCAGACCAGGTCATGTTTTTCCAATTCTCCAGTGTCCAGTGTTTTAGTTCCTTAGTCCACTGCAACCACAGTTTCTTGTTTTTTGCTGAAAGAAGTGGAACTCTTTAAGGTCGTTGGCTGCCATACCTCATTTGTGTCAAGGTACGATGAGTTGTTCATTCTTTTATGGGTCTTTGGACAACAATGTTGTACTGGACTGTCAGTTGACTTAACTGTAGCCCGTCTGTTGCGCTGTACAATTCGTGTCAGCCTCCTTTGTCCTCTTTCATCAATGACCCGTTTTCGACCACTGGCCTGCCGTTGGATGGATGTCCTTTGGGTGGTGGACCATTCTTCATACACACGGGAAACTGCTGAGCGTGAAAAACCCAGCACCATTGCAGTTCTTGACACACTCAAACTGGTGCTCCTGGCATCTACTACCATACCCCGTTCAAAGGCACTTAAATATTTTTTCTTGGCCATTCACCGTCTGAATGGCACACATACACAATCCATGTCTCAATTGTCTCAAAGCATCAAAATCCTTCTTTAGCCTGATCCGCTCCTTCATATACACTGATTGAAGTGGATTTAACAGGCGACATCAATAAGGGATCATAGCTTTCACCTGGATTCACCTGGTCAGTCTATGTCATGGAAAGAGCAGGTTTTCCTAATGTTTTGTACACTCAGTCTACATTTGTGAACAGCCGACCATAACAACCACAATCCATAAGGAGCAAATAGCTAAATGAGAGAGCAGTAGTGTGAGTCACATCATTGTGCTGTGTAGATATCAATAATAAGTAATATTCGTATCGGCCGTAGGCTACACCACTGTTGTCTGCCCTTTTTTGGGGGGGGGGGGATAGATCAGCTTTAATATTGCATATATATTGTAGCTTCCATCAATATAATTGTCTGCATCACTTCCAATCCCCCATATATTTTTTTCGCTAATACATAGATATATATATATACATATACATACATACACATACATACAGTGGGGGAAAAAAGTATTTAGTCAGCCACCAATTGTACAAGTTCTCCCACTTAAAAAGATGAGAGAGGCCTGTAATTTTCATCATAGGTACACGTCAACTATGACAGACAAATTGAGGAAAAAAAATCAAGAAAATCACATTGTAGGATTTTTTATGAATTTATTTGCAAATTATGGTGGAAAATAAGTATTTGGTCACCTACAAACAAGCACGATTTCTGGCTCTCACAGACCTGTAACTTCTTCTTTAAGAGGCTCCTCTGTCCTCCACTCGTCACCTGTATTAATGGCACCTGTTTGAACTTGTTATCAGTATAAAAGACACCTGTCCACAACCTCAAACAGTCACACTCCAAACTCCACTATGGCCAAGACCAAAGAGCTGTCAAAGGACACCAGAAACAAAATTGTAGACCTGCACCAGGCTGGGAAGACTGAATCTGCAATAGGTAAGCAGCTTGGTTTGAAGAAATCAACTGTGAGAGCAATTATTAGGAAATGGAAGACATACAAGACCACTGATAATCTCCCTCGATCTGGGGCTCCACGCAAGATCTCACCCCGTGGAGTCAAAATTATCACAAGAACAGTGAGCAAAAATCCCAGAACCACACGGGGGGACCTAGTGAATGACCTGCAGAGAGCTGGGACCAAAATAACAAAGCCTACCATCAGTAACACACTACGCCGCCAGGGACCCAAATCCTGCAGTGCCAGACGTGTCCCCCTGCTTAAGCCAGTACATGTCCAGGCCCGTCTGAAGTTTGCTAGAGTGCATTTGGATGATCCAGAAGAGGATTGGGAGAATGTCATATGGTCAGATGAAACCAAAATAGAACTTTTTGGTAAAAACTCAACTCGTCGTGTTTGGAGGACAAAGAATGCTGAGTTGCATCCAAAGAACACCATACCTACTGTGAAGCATGGGGGTGGAAACATCATGCTTTGGGGCTGTTTTTCTGCAAAGGGACCAGGACGACTGATCCGTGTAAAGGAAAGAATGAATGGGGCCATGTATCGTGAGATTTTGAGTGAAAACCTCCTTCCATCAGCAAGGGCATTGAAGATGAAACGTGGCTGGGTCTTTCAGCATGACAATGATCCCAAACACACCGCCCGGGCAACGAAGGAGTGGCTTCGTAAGAAGCATTTCAAGGTCCTGGAGTGGCCAAGCCAGTCTCCAGATCTCAACCCCATAGAAAATCTTTGGAGGGAGTTGAAAGTCTGTGTTGCCCAGCGACAGCCCCAAAACATCACTCCTCTAGAGGAGATCTGCATGGAGGAATGGGCCAAAATACCAGCAACAGTGTGTGAAAACCTTGTGAAGACTTACAGAAAACGTTTGACCTGTGTCATTGCCAACAAAGGGTATATAACAAAGTATTGAGAAACTTTTGTTATTGACCAAATACTTATTTTCCACCATAATTTGCAAATAAATTCATTAAAAATCCTACAATGTGATTTTCTGGAAATACTTTTCTCATTTTGTCTGTCATAGTTGACGTGTACCTATGATGAAAATTAGAGGCCTCTCTCATCTTTTTAAGTGGGAGAACTTGCACAATTGGTGGCTGACTAAATACTTTTTTTCCCCACTGTACATATATATAAATTCATATATATGCATATCCTTTAAAAATATATATTTTCCTTTATTACTTTCCAACCCCACCACCCCTCCCCTAATTGGAGTAAACTAGTGAACAACAACGCTTAGGCCTCTACTTCCAGCTTATACATACTATATACATTTTATGGACACAGTCAGTTTTACAATAGTTATATTTTGTTTGTTTTTACTCCTGAACTTCCTCTACCCTCAACCTCTCCGATCATTTTTATGATGTCCATCCGGTTTGCTTCTATATGCCATATCTGCTCTTTCACAAAAGTTCTTAACCTATAACCTATATACTTGTTGTGGACACAGTATGTTTTACGTTAGTTATCTTGTTGTTATTAGTCCCAACCTTCAGCTCCATTCAACCCCTCCCATCTATCTCTTAACACCATCCATTTGGGATTTCTATTTGCCATATATTTTTCAACTGTACTGTGATGTTTCACAAAAGTTCTGCTTTTGTCGTCCTTTCCTCCAAGTGTTTATTCAAGTAGGATGTATAATCTTTGGATGACAACAGCAGTCGCGCCATTTCAGTATTTTAGCATTTTATTAGGATCCTCACGCAAACATAGTTTCTGAATGAATATCCTAGAAGTAATCATTGGGTTTAAAAAAAAGTATTTGTAATCTGATTACAATATTTTTGCTGGTACCGTAACATTTACATTTTAGTCATTTAGCAGACGCTCTTATCCAGAGCGACTTACAGTTTAGTGAGTGCATACATTTTTACTGTTACAGTTTTTTTGTAATCAGTTACATGTAATAGATTACATGTAATCCGTTACTCCCCAACCCTGCTCATAGATTATGCATGTATGAACTACACATTGACACAGCCAGCCCAAAGTTGGAGGTTTAAAAAATACTAAGTAGTCGCCAATGTTCTGGAGCATGTCTTTAAGAGAAGGTGAGAACTCATTTAGACCAGCTGTATTCCTGTTGCCGTTCCTCAGCTGCTTTTGATTTGTCCAGGAGGATAACCAGGGGCAGTTTAACCTCTGGGTCTTTGGCCATTGGGATGTCAAGAGTGACCTACAAATACAGAAAATATATGAATGTACACTTAGTTGCCCAAATGTTTAATTACAGCATAGTTTTCACATGCAAAGTGACTGCTTTATCCATATCTTTTGTGTGTGTGTTTTTTATGAGGTGAAAACGCTCTTTCCTCTCCTACTCTGCATCCCTGTATTCATAATTTAGCTGGTCTTGTGCTTTCATTATATGTGTGTATCTCATCACAATATACCTTCAGTCTGTACTCTAACTTCAGTATGGAGCAGTCTAGGAGGGAGACAGGGAGTTGTGGAGGGATAGTCAGCACTTTGGTCACAGTCTGTCTTGTAGAAGCCGTAACAGAATCTCCTCTCTCTTTAATGATGTCATTGGTGTAGACTTTCCTTTTATGCTTGGCGAAGAAGCTCTGCTCTTCATATAGGTAGAAGTCTGGGTTTACTGTGCGTGTAGAGTTGTTGTGTATCTCAACAAGGACTTTTATTGCTTCACCTTACAGTGGACACAAGGAAAGGAACTTGATTCAGTTATTGGGTTTGCAGACTGTACATTTAGAGACATTTTTCTCCTCAGGAGAAGTGTATCACATTGTAGCCTAATTCATTAGCAAATTAGATAGTTCACTCGTACATTTCCCCCCATTCATTTATTGAATATCATATTTCATATTCATTTATTGAATTTGTATATTAATTTACTGATCTCTGTTTTATTTAATACAACCCACCTTGTACCTTATTGAATGGATATAGATTTAATATTAAAATGACCATCAGCTCTGATCGCTGTTAGGCTAGCTGAAGTGGCTTTGGTTGCAGACTGACCTGATAGATACCCCATTGTCTCAATATGAATGTCCATAGAGATATTTCCAGAGGCAAGGAATACAACCTTGGAACCATGCTGGGGCTCCTACGAAACAAGAGATAAAAAGTAGACTGTTAAGATGCGTTCTCTTGCCATGCTTATTTTGTCTGTAACTAGTAAAAAAGCAGATGTAGTTACAGAAACAGGATAGAAAATAAGAACTCTTTACCCTCAGTCCAGGAATGATCATATTAGTCTTTGACAGATACGTGAACTCTGTCTTGGCTTTGTCTATCAACCAAAGCGTCCTGATCAACTTGGCCTTCAAACAGTAGGTGATTTTTCCCCATTTACCCATGTAAGATGAAGGCATTTCTCTGAGAGGAAATATGAAAAAAAAAGAAAACCCATTATCATCTATCTGTGGAAACCACTAGAAGGCCTTTTTACATAACAAAATCTGTGATTATTGTTTCCTCAAATAAAAAAAAGAAACCCACAAATATGTGATGGATGGAACACTTACTTGGCTGGAATCTGGAAGGTGAAAGGGTACACATGTCTCCCAGGAGTAATGATTTCAGAGCCTGAAAAACGGGATCTATTTTGAAATGGGCAATGTAAATTCAGATTCTGCTTAATACAAAGTCATATTAAGCATATATGTCACCTAACCCTACAGTATTATCAACCATGGTTCTGGAATACCATAGCATCACCAATAATTATTATTGTGAGTTAGGCTATTAAATGGTTAGGCTAACCATTCTTAATTGTTGCAGAAAGTAAACACAGAAAGCTGAAGTGTTACATACCATCCCCCTTCCCTTCCTGCAACAATATTTTAAGACTGAAGTATTTCTTCTTGCCACTGAAGGCAACAGGGTTTTGCCCCTCATGTTCGTTCCATTTCACCTCAGCTTTCCCTTTTGCCTTGATAAAAAGAGACTGGAGAGAGGTCTCCTTGGATGCTTCCAAAGTGACCCGCCCAGTGATAGTATCCCCAGCTGAAAAAGTGCCATGTTCATTAATCATGTTGTAGTCGACCGAGAAGCGTTTAACTGTCATTCTGACTGAGTTGGTGAACTGAGCAGTCACAAGGGGCATGCGCGACTCTAATGTATGATTCATGAAGCAAGACAATAGTTTCAGTAGTCCACACAGTGTAACAGGAGATGCTACCTAGAAGCATGGAGGATGAGGACCAGAGCAGACCCTTTGAGTTCACTGTGTTATTACCTCCAGGCTAAAAGTCAACTGTGCTCTCTACTATGAACAGGGATACCAACCAGTTTGGCACATCGTTATCTAGCAGTCATTTCCCTCCATTATGGAAGTAGGCTACTTTATCTGTGTCGCGGGCCACGGCTCTTCAGCCAACAGGTGGCTATTTTTTATTTTTTATTTAACCTTTATTTAACCAGGTAAGCCAGTTGAGAACAAGTTCTCATTTACAACTGCGACCTGGCCAAGATAAAGCAAAGCAGTGCGATAAAAACAACAACAACACAGAGTTACATATGGGGTAAACAAAACATAAAGTCAAAAATACAACAGAAAATATATATACAGTGTGTGCGAATGTAGTAAGTTATGGAGGTAAGGCAATAAATAGGCCATAGTGCAAAATAGTTACAATTTGGTATTAACACTGGAATGATAGATGTGCAAAAGATGATGTGCAAATAGAGATACTGGGGTGCAAAATTAGCAAATAAATAACAATATGGCTATGTCACAGTCACATGGGTAAATGCCGTCAAATATGTTACAAATAATACATAATAATAATTTGAGCCATATAATATAATTGTGTATAGGCTACATCCTTATTGTACTCCCTTGATCAGGAGAAACCTTTATTACCATGTAAAACAGAGATGTTAGGTATTTGGCTTGGGGTTGTAGCTACAGTTGAAGTCGGAAGTTTACATACACTTAGGTTGGAGTCATTAAAACTCGTTTTTCAACCACTCCACAAATTTCTTGTTAACAAACTATAGTTTTGGCAAGTCGGTTAGGACATCTACTTTGTGCATGACACACGTAACTTTTCCAACAATTGTTTACAGACAGATTATTTCACTTACCACGTTCATCTGGACAAACAATAGTACGCAAATATAAACACCATGGGGCCATGCAGCCATCATACCACTCAGGAAGGAGACGCGTTCTGTCTCCTAGAGATGAATGTACTTTGGTGCGAAAAGTGCAAATCAATCCCAGAACAACAGCAAAGGACCTAGTGAAGATGCTGGAGGAAACAGGTACAAAAGTATCTATATCCACAGTAAAACGAGTCCTATATCGACATTACCTGAAAGGCCGCTCAGCAAGGAAGAAGCCACTGGTCCAAATCCGGCATAAAAAAGCCAGACTACGGTTTGCAACTGCACATGGGGACAAAGAACGTACTTTTTGGAGAAATGTCCTCTGGTCTGATGAAACAAAAATAGAACTGTTTGGCCATAATGACCATCGTTATGTTTGGAGGAAAAAGGGGGAAGATTGCATGCCGAAGAACACCATCCCAACTGTGAAGCACGGGGTGGCAGCATCATGCTGTGGGGTTGCTTTGCTGCAGGAGGGACTGGTGCACTTCACAAAATAGATGGCATCATGAGGAAGGAAAATGATGTGGATATATTGAAGCAACATCTCAAGACATCAGTCAGGAAGTTAAAGCTTGGTCGCAAATGGGTCTTCCAAATGGACAATGACCTCAAGCATACTTCCAAAGTTGTGGCAAATGGCTTAAGGACAACAAAGTCAAGGTATTGGAGTGGCCATCACAAAACCCTGACCTCAATCCTATAGAAAATGTGTGGGCAGAACTGAAAAAGCATGTGCGAGCAAGGAGGCCTACAAACCTGACTCAGTTACACCAGCTCTGTCAGGAGGAATGGGCCAAAATTCACCCAACTTATTGTGGGAAGCTTGTGGAAGGCTACCCGAAACGATTGACCCAAGTTAAACAATTTAAAGGCAATGCTACCAAATACTAATTGAGTGTATGTACACTTCTGACCCACTGGGAATGTGATGAAAGTAATAAAAGCTGAAATAAATAATTCTCTCTACTATTATTCTGACATTTCACATTCTTGAAATAAAGTGGTGATCCTAACTGACCTAAGACAGGGAATTTTTACTAGGATTAAATGTCAGGAATTGTGAAAAACTGAGTTTAAGTATTTGGCTAAGGTATATGGAAACTTCCGACTTCAACTGTAAATGGCTAGACACTAATAACATAATCACTGAATAAATACTGGACCTAGCATTTTTAGGGTGCAGGAACAATATGATTTTCTCTTTCACTTAGGTTTTATTTAATATTAGTTCATGGTAAACATTAACTGCATTTGCCAGATATTTTACATATAGTGATAATAATGCAAAAATAAAGAAATAACGATTGTTATGTGAGAAATTGTGAACATTACATGCACACAATAAATAATATACAAAAACCATCACATTTAGCAATCTCAGATTTTAAAAAGGACCAAAATGACTGTTAAATCATACAAATAAATACACTGTATACAGTACATTGATAGATGAATATGCATCAGAAGAGAGTGGTATTTCATTTGATCCCGCTCGACCTCTAGCTGCTTGGAGACTGACCCATCAATGTTAGGGAGTAAGGTGGAAGATGGGGGTTCCTGCCCAAGACCTTGAGTTCCAGGAAGAACAATCATAGGTAGCTTGATCTCAGGGTTTTTGGTCAGGGCAACATCAAGGCAACCTGAAAGAACAGACAAATATTATGTATCAAAAACCATGAAATGTTTGTAGGGCAGGCTACTCTTTATAATCTGCTTTCATCTATAGCTAGACAATCATCTCTGTTTCACACTTCCAATATTAGGGTTGTTTTCTTGCCCTGTTTAGGAGTATTTACAAGCAATTTCTATCATTGTCAATTACCTTCAGTCTGTACTCCAGTTTGAGTATGTGGCAGTTGAGGATGGTTGGAGTGAGTTCTGCAGGGATGGTGAAGAGCTTGGTCACAGTCTGTCTGGTGGAAGAAGCAACAGACTCGCCTTTTTCTTTCACAAGGTTTTGGGTGTCGACTCTTCTCGCCCCTCGGGCAAACAAACTCTTCTTTTCATACAGGTAGAAAATGGGTTTGATTGTACGTGTTGAGCTGTTGGTGATATATTGCTGTGGCTTTCAATGTCTCACCTGTAAAGGTATTTACATATGCAGAAACACAGAGGAAAAATCCAAATGATCAATTTGAATAGTCATTGACATCACACATTTCTATGACAGTGAGATTATGTCCAGCCAAGGTTCAAATTATGCATTATTCACTCATGGAGGTGATCTGAAAACAGTGAGCTGGACCTATTTTAACACTTATGTGGCACCAAAACATCAACATGAATCTCCATTCTAACTCCTTGTCCTTGTTTTACTACAGTATAGGGCTATAGCCCGGGGTAGTCACATTGATTATGTAGTGCTGATGCTACTTCTTTCCACTAGTTGGTGCTGAATCATTACCTTGCTGGTATCCCATCCTCTCAGTGTGAATATTCATAGAGATGTTTCCAGATACAAAGAACACAACATCCTTATCCTTGGTCCCATGCTGAGGTTCCTGAAAAGGCACAACAGTGGTGACACAACATAGAATGTGATAATGATCTCTTGTGCAATGACAGTAGTGCTTGGTGTATCGTAGCCCTTTCCTGCAGTCAATGACCAAAAGCCCCTATTTGGCCTCATGGGTGGAATGTTATTCATATTTTTCATAATTTCATAAATAACTAATCATCAGTAATATGTGTCAGTGCAGTACATGTTTTTTCCAACAGTTTGCTAAGAGATGGCAGCAAGCTGATAGGTCTGCTGTTAGAATCAGTAAAGGCCGCTTTACCACTTGTTGGTAGCAGAATGACTTTGGCTTCGCTCCAGGCCTGAGGACAAACACTTTCCTGTACGCTCAGATTAAAGATATGACAGATAGGAGTGGCTATATAGTCAGCTACCATCCTCAGTAGCCTTCCATCTAAGTTGTCAATGCCAGGAGATTTATCATTATTGATCGATAACAAACATTTTTACACCTCTCCAACACTAACTTTACAAAATTCTAACTTGCAATGCTTTTCTTTAATATATACAGTATATATATATATATATATTATATTATATATATATTATATCTATATTATATATTACATTACATAAGATTTCTCTAAGCTACAGGATATGCTTGAATATATGCAGGCAAACCTCCCTAAGCATTCATGCTCTTCTAGTGTTTAGCCTTGTAGCTTGTGTATATCAATGAATTCTAGTGAGTTCAGAAATGGCTAATATAATGTAGCTAAAATATATGATTCATAACCTGATTTTAAACATATATTATATATATTCAGCTTTCCTGTGAGTTCTATCTATATGTTTATAGTATGAAAAGGCAACAGCAAGATAAAATATATATATACAGTCAGCAGTCAGTTGTGTGGTGTGTGGTAGAGGGTGTGTGTGTGTGTGTGTGTGTGTGTGTGTGTGTGTGTGTGTGTGCACTGCGGGGTTGAATCTACACTACATACCCAAAAGTATGTGGACACCTGCTCGTCGAACATCTCATTCCAAAATCATGGGCATTAATATGGAGTTGGTCCCCCCTTTGCTGCTACAACAGCCTCCACTCTTCTGGGAAGGCTTTCCACTAGATGTTGGAACATTGCTGTGGGGACTTGCTTCCATTCATCTACAACAGCATTAGTGAGGTCGGGAACTGATGTTCGGCTATTAGGCCTGGCTCGCAGTCGCCGTTCCAATTCATCCCAAAGGTGTTCGATAGGGTTGAGGTCAGGGCTCTGTGCAGGCCAGTCAAGTTCTTCCACACCGATCTCGACAAACCATTTCTGTATGGACCTCACTTTGTGCATGGGGGCATTGTCATGCTGAAGCAGGAAAGGGCCTTCAGCAAACTGTTGCCACAAAGTTGGAAGCACAGAATCGTCTAGAATGTCATTGTCTGCTGCTGCGTTAACATTTCCCTTCACTGGAACTAAGGGGCCTAGCCCAAACCATGAAAAACAGCCCCAGACCATCATTCCTCCTCCACCAAACTTTACAGTTAGCACTTTGCATTGGGGCAAGTAGCATTCTCCTGGCATCTGCCAAACCTAGATTTGTCCGTCGGACTGACAGATGGTGAAGCGTGATTCATCACTCCAGAGAACGTGTTTCCACTGCTCCAGAGTCCAATGACGGCGAGCTTTACACCACTCCAGCCGATGCTTGGCATTGAGCATTTTGATCTTAGGCTTGTGTGCGGCTGCTCGACAAGGAAACCTATTTCACGAAGCTCCAGACGAACAGTTATTGTGCTAACGTTGCTTCCAGAGGCAGTTTGGGCCTTGGTAGTGAGTGTTGCAACCAAGGACAGACCATTTTTACGCGGTACGCATATCAGCACTCGGCGGTCCCGTTCTGTGAGTTTGTGTGGCCTACCACTTCGCGGCTGAGCCATTGTTGCTGGTATACGTTTCCACTTCACAATAACAGCAATTGCAGTTGACCAGGGCAGCTCTAGTAGGGCAGAAATTTGATTAACTGACTTGTTGGAAAGGTGGCATCCTATGACGGTGCCACGTTGAAAGTAACTGAGCTCTTCAGTAAGGTCATTCTACCGCCAGTGTTTGTCTATGGAGATTGCATGGCTGTGTGCTCGATTTTATACACCTGTCAGCAACGGGAGTGGCTGAAATAGCCAAATCCACTAATTTGAAGGGGTGTCAACATACTTTGTATATATACAGTGCATTCGGAAAGTATTCAGACCCCTTGACTTTTTCCACATTTTGTTTACGTTACAGCCTTATTCTAAAATTGATTAAATTGTTTTTTTCCCCCTTATCAATCTACACACAATACCACATAATGACAAAGCAAAATCAGGTATTAATAAACTTTTGCAAATGTAGAAATAAAACAGAAATATTACATTTACATAAGTATTCAGACCCTTTACTCAGTACTTTGTTGAAGCACCTTTGGCAGCTATTATAGCCTTGAGTCTTCTTGGGTATGATGCTACAGGCTTGGCACACCTGTATTTGGGGAGTTTCTCCCATTATAATCTGCAGATCCTTTCAAGCTCTGTCAGGTTGGATGGGGAGCGTCGCTGCACAGGTCTCTCCAGAGATGTTCGATCGGGTTCAAGTCCGGGCTCTGGCTGGGCCACTCAAGGACATTCAGAGACTTGTCCTGAAGCCACTCCTGCGTTGTCTTGGCTGTGTGCTTAGGGTCCTTGTCCTGTTGGAAGGTGAACCTTCACCCCAGTCTGAAGTCCTGAAATCTCTGGAGCAGGTCTTCATCAAGGATCTCTCTGTACTTTGCTCTGTTAATCTTTCGCTCAATCCTGACTAGTCTCCCAGTCCCTGAGGCTGAAAAACATCCACACAGCATGATGCTGCCACCACCATGCTTCACCATGCGGATGGTGCCAGCTTTCCTCCAGACGTGACACTTGGCATTCAGGCCAAAGAGTTCAATTTTGATTTCAGCAGACCGGAAAATCTAGTTTCTCATGGTCTGGGAGTCTTTAGGTGCCTTTTGGCAAACTCCAAGCGGGCTGTCATGTGCCTTTTTTCTGAGGAGTGGTTTCCGTCTGGCCACTCCATAAAGCCTGATTGGTGGAGTGCTGCAGAGATGGTTGTCCTTCTGTAAGGTTCTCCCATCTCCACAGAGGAACTCTGAGGCTCTGTCAGAGTGACCATCAGGTTCTTGGTCATCTCCCTGACCAAGGCCCTTCTCCCCCGATTGCTCAGTTAGGCCGGGCGGCCAGCTCTAGGAAGAGTGTTGGTGGTTCCAAACTTCTTCCATTTAAGAATGATGGAGGCAACTTTGTTCTTGGGGACCTTCATTGCTGCAGACATTTTTTGGTACCCTGATCTGTGCCTCTACACAATCCTGTCTCGGAGCTCTATGGACACTTCCTTCAACCTGATGGCTTGGTTTTTGCTCTGACATGCACTGTCAACTCTGGGAACTTATATAGACAGGTGTGTGCCTTCCAAATCATGTCCAATCAATTGAATGTACCACAGGTGGACTCCAATCAAATTGTAGAAACATCTCAAGGATGATCAATGGAAACAGGATGCACCTGAGCTCAATTTCGAGTCTCATAGCAAAGGGTCTGAATACTTATGTAAATAGGGTATTTCTGTTCTTTATATTTAATACATTTTCAAAAATGTTTTCACTTTGTCATTATGGGGTATTGTGTGTAGATTGATGAGGGGAATGTAATCAATTTTAGAATAAAGCTGTAACGTAACAAAATGTGGATATAAATCAAGGGGTCTGAATACTTTCTGAATGCACTGTAGTGTACGAACCCATAGGCTTTGCTCTCTCATCCCTTCCAGGCTTTTGTGAGGGAGGGTGGACAATGAGCCTGTCATAGCAGATGTAAGCAATGTCCTCACGCGCTCTGGCAGCTTTCATGGCTGGGATAAATTCTTCAGGACAGCTTCAGGATAGTCCTTGTTGAGGAAGATATAAGATATACATTCCTCTCAAGTTATTGGCTCTTTCCAGAACAGCTACCTTGTCCTTGAACCTCAGGAACTTGACCAGTATCGGCCTGGGCCTGTCACCTGGGCCGGTGTTGGGTTTTCCAGTCCTGTGGGTGCGCTCCACCTCAATTTTCCTGTGGTCAATCTTCAGTTTCTCCGAGATAATTTCCCTCACTTTGTCCTCAGACTCCATCCAGGTCTCATGTGGAGATTCTGCAATTCCATCCACAATCATGTTGTTACGCCTTGATTGTCCCTCAAGATAATCTGATTTCTCCGTCATTGTTATTATGGATTCACATACAGAACTGATGTCCTCTCTCAATGCCTTACCGATTGCTGACATCTTGCCATTCTCCTGTTGAAACAAATCGAGCTGACCCTGGGAGAACTGCAAACTGTTCTTCAGGTCCTGGACCTCTCTGGTCAGGTCGTCCATTATTTATTAGTTGACTCCAGCAGTATTTGGACAAAAAACACTTGAAGCTATTTTGCTTGTAGAACTATTTTTGTTCATTTAACCTCTTAAGGAATCGGTCCCATTTTTTCAATTTTCGCCTAAAATGACATACCCAAATCTAACTGCCTGTAGCTCAGGACCTGAAGCAAGGATATGCATATTCTTGATACCATTTGAAAGTAAACACTTTGCAGTTTAGGCGCAATATAGCAGTGTGTGTGCAAAGTTTCAGATTGATCCAGTGAAGCATTGCAATACTGGACTATTTTGTATCAAGTCTGCCCAAATGTGCAAAATTGGTCAATTGATACATTTTCAAGTACATAACTATAGAGAACATACAAACATGATATGGTAACACAAAATGTAAGTTTACACACTCCCAGGAATGTCATAAATGATGGATCATTAGCTTATACACTAACTTTCACACATCTAGATGGCCGGGCGGGGTGGGTGTGGAGCCAGAGACAGCAGGGGTTCGAACCCAGTTCCTACATTTAAATATAAAAATTGATTTTATCAAACGAAACTATGCTACATTTTATCTCTGGGACCCTCAGGATGACAAATCAGACCAAGATTACTGAATGTAAG